CGAACAGTAGAATGAGGTTACTTTCAAAAAATTTAACCCTTGTTTTAAAATTAAAATTTTAGTAAATTTTCATAAAAATTGATGAGATATGTGGTTGAAAAGTTACGAGTTTTAGAATGAAAATATAAACTCAATAATCTTCAGAAAGTTTTAAAAAAAAATGGTTTTCTCGAAATAATCTGTAAAGCAACTTTTTTTAAGCTTTCCATTCACGTAATTCTGATATCTGAACAGAAGAAAAGGAAAAATCTGAATTGAATTCCATTTTAGATTCTCAGAGGAAAAAAATTGGAAAATCATAGAAAAAAAATTGGATTTTTCTACTTGTACATAAAAATTGTACCTAAAATGTTACATATTATGATGTGGGAGAGAATGATTGGATAAAAAATTGACTATATTTTAAACTGATAAATGATAGAATGACATGTAGCATTATGTAACATATTATGTAATCCTTGATGTACATGCAGCAAGATCCAAAAAAATTTGGGGTATATATACGCAGCTGACAAACGAAAAATGTTCATGTAGGTGGTCTCAACTGAGTTAACTCGGCCGAGTCATGGGCTGCTGCGAATCTTGGTTCTCGAGGAAGCCGCGTTTGGAAAAGGATCGTTGGCACCACAGCCAGTACCGACGTTCCTCTTCCGCCAAAGGCGCTTCCTCCGTGGGCGGCGGAGGTGGCTCGTCGGGCTTCGCTGAGTTCACTTTGGCGGAGCTGAAGGCAGCTACCAACAACTTCAGCTCCGACAACATCGTCTCTGGGAGCGGAGAGAAGGCCCCCAATGTCGTTTACGAAGGCCGCCTGCAGAACGGCCGCTGGATCGCTGTCAAAAAGTTCACCAAAATGGCCTGGCCTGATCCTAAACAGTTCGCTGTACGAACATGATACAGTTGTACACACACATAAATATGCAAGTTTTGATTTCTATTTTTAAAAAAATGAATTGACTTTATTTATTCATGTTTTGTATTTGAAAGGGGGAAGCAAAGGAAGTGGGGAAACTGAGGCATAAGAGGCTAGCAAATTTGATAGGGTATTGTTGTGATGAGGATGAGAGGCTGCTAGTGGCGGAGTTCATGCCTAACGAGACTCTTGCTAAGCATTTATTTCACTGTATGTTGTATTATTGCTTCAGCTTAATTTGTCATTCATTTATTGCATTTTTAGCATTTCTCCTTCATACTTACTATCTGGATGTATTTTTTAGAAGATATTGGCAAATGTAGCCAAGTTCATAGCTAGGTCAATTATTAGTTCCTTATTCATTCCCTAAACAACGTAATTTATTGTTATTGAAGTTAATACTATGATCATTGGAACATGCTTGGTGCAATGTTTTTAGAATTTATGTAGTGGTTTGTTGCTATGTTAATTATGGGCTTTTGGCATTCCTTTGTGAAGGGATAAGTCTATTTGAATTTTAATGCAAAAACAATTCTTAGGATAAATTTGTACATCAGTTTTGTATGCTTGTCATGCATCTGTAACAAATGATTAATCTACGGAATTGATACAGAAACTAGCTTCTGAAATTTAGAATGTTTCTATTTTCTAGAAGTTGAGTGTTTTTCCCATCTTTTTGAGTATGTGCGTGTTGAGGGAGGGGGTTCATGTGAGGGCATCATTAAGTCAGCTGGATTGCCAGTAGTTACATAATTGGGTTGCAGCCTGTTTGAGTCTCTCTATAAATAAAAATGTTCTGCATTATCCAGCAATGCTTGTGCACATGAGAACAGTGTTTGACTTGCATGTATTTACTAAATATCTAGATTCCTTTTGAACCAGAATCAAACTCTTATTTTGAGAAAAAATGTTTTCTTTCCCAATCGTGGAGTCAATAGAAAGGAGTTTCTTGTTTGTAAAACCAGAACTTAATTATCATTTCAAGTGTGAAGTGCCTTTCAAATTCGGGGCCAGGTTTTTCGATGTAAGTTGTTTAAAATCTTAAAAGGCATGGAGATAGCATTTTAATAGTGTGGGAGATGCTTCACTAACTTAAAAGATGATATATCTTGAAGAGTAGCGACTATAGCACGTTCTATCTTCTACATGTTATTTGAAGATGATTGTGGACGTTCTTAGATAGAGTCCATGTGGTAATAGCTTGAAAACATGTGCAACATATTGGAAAATTGAGAACAAGTGAAGTACATCGACACTTTTTTGGTCTTGAAGTTACCCAAAACTTTAGAAATTTAAGATTTTATCTTGCCTTATGTACCTACAAAGCTGAAATACTGGGAATGGGTATTTGTCTATACGCTAATTCTCTGTGACACACATTGTGTAGTCTATCTTTTCCCACGGGTTGAGAACAAATGCGTAACATCGTCGTGAAGTTACCCAAAACTTTAAAAATTGAAGGTTCTCTTGCCTTATTTAGCTACGAAATAGTGGGATTTGACGGAGTATTTGTCTATATGCTACATTCTCTGTGAAACCCATTGTGCAGTCTATCCTTTCCCACTGGGTGGGGAATCCCGCAATTCCTGTTAAAGTTGCCTCTTTCAAATTTATCTTTGTAATTTTATGCAAAAAATTTATGTTTTAGACTTCACAATGTTCTTTCTTGGTCATTTCATATGTTCGTTAAATAATTTTTCTCTACCTTCTTTCACAGGGGAGAATCAAACCCCTGAGTGGGCCCTGCGTTTAAGAGTGGCTTTGTATATAGCTGAAGCATTAGATTATTGCAGCAATGAAGGTCGACCACTGTACCATGACTTGAATGCCTATAGGGTTCTCTTTGATGAGGTTAATGAATTTCTTATTCTTAAGCTTAATGATATGCTTTTGTTTTGCAATTCTCTTCTTTTCTTCCCCAGGTTAGTATCTCATCTGGGGTCTTTATGTTTTAATTAAAGTAAAATGTCTATATAATGAATGCTTTGGCAGAATGGTGATCCACGGTTATCCTGTTTTGGATTGATGAAAAATAGCAGGGATGGTAAAAGTTACAGCACAAATCTTGCATATACACCTCCCGAGTATCTAAGAAACGGTAATATCCAATTTTTTATCTTTTAATTATCAGCTGTGCATATGCCTAAATGGGCCTATATCATATATATTTAATTTACCTTTCTCTTCAAGATGGATTATGCCCACAATCTTGAAATTTTGTTGTATGATCGATAAGACATCTAAATGAATTATTCAGAATTTACAACTAACATAAGCATCCCATAACCAGCAAGTAAAGCAATGCGAATAAAGAAGCAATCTGCCTTAAGCCTCTAGAGCTATTAAAGTCCACAGGAGTTTAATTCTCTTATCTCGAATATGCAAAACTTACTCCATGTGAGTCCTTTTGTTTAGAAACCCATTTTCCTGACTACAAAAAGCAGGAAATCCCAATTTGCACGTTCTTAGGCTTTCTCAATATCAGCTTTTCACGGCATGCCACTTCTCACACTTCGCAACCTGGCTTCCATCTCTTCCTTGGCCACAAGTACTGCATGAAGGATCTGCCTCTTACCCACTATAGCATTTTGATTCGTGCACAGCCGTAATAATATTTTTCGCATGTCTCGGAGCAAGCACTTTGGGATCATCTTGTCCACAGATCCCAAAAGGCTAATAGGCCTGGAATCCTCAATATCCACATCACCATTATTCTTAGAGCTGACAAAAACAGAAGTAATGCTTTTCTTATATCTTTCGTGCACTTAAAAAATGCATTGTTTCCATAACGTCCTCTTTTCACCACTTGTCACATGTATGCAAATTGATTCCATTCTGACCAGGATCCTTGTTTCCATCATGCACTTTCTAAGCTCAAAACCCTTAAACGTGGAATTACATTTCTGATCTCTTATTCCTTCGTTAGAGATTCTTCTGAATGGGACCTATCCTGCCTCAACTATGTAAAACAACATCCCACCATAGGCAAGTCAATCAGCTCCTTTTCCTACATAAAATTGTTGAAATCAGGCATATCTGAAGAAAATTAGGGTATGGGAGCCTGATAACATTAACTTTCCTCCAATCACCCACAGCTTCTCCCAAAGTTCACAGCTGCCAATTCTTCTGAGAGACTGCTGCAGAAGTTTTTGGATTAAAACTATACTCTCAACTAGATAATTTTGCACGGGAACTATTGTAGATTACATGACTCCCCTTTTTGCTTTTCCAATTTTGTTATCTTTCTAGAATTTGCTTACGAGAATTAGTATATCTTTAAAATCTCTTGTAGGAAGGGTCACCCCAGAAAGTGTTGCTTTCAGCTTTGGGACTGTTCTTTTGGATCTTCTTAGTGGAAAGCACATCCCTCCAAGTCATGTGCGTATTGACACTTGATCATTTATTAGCTTCAATGACTTGTTATCTCATGCTTGTATGATTATTGCACTGTGGATTCTTGTACTGCTGCTCATCCAAGTCAGCTTTAGTGTTGATATGGTTACTATTTTTAACTGTCGCTTCTTGTTTTATTGTGCCCGTCATTAATTTAGGGCCTGTTTGGGCCAGATTAAAATCTGATTTTAGTCAAAGTCAAACAATCAATATTAACCACGTCTTTCATGGGTCCCACATCTTTTCAACCACATATTTCAAAAACTTCTATCACAATCCACTAAAAATCTAATTTTAATTCACACCAAACACCCTCTTAGCTTCTGAAGTTTGTAGGGTGGTAATCTCCAATATGAGTTCTTAAAGTAAGAGATGTGTTTTTAGGAAGTTCTTGTCACAAAATAGACATGCTACTTTTGCAACTGGTTTAAAAGTGGTGACGTGTACTGATAGACTAGTATTGATGTTTTGGGATGGCATAGTTCATAACTGCTTCATGAATTTTTGTCATACCAACTAGATGAAGTTACAATCCCCTCACCCTCTAGGAAAACCACTTTTGCGGTATTTTACCCTTATAATATTTGATGGTCCTTCAGAGTATTCTACTGCTAGAAATTCCCCTTCTAATTTTATTTTGACTTTCTGTATCAGTTGAACTCCCAAAATATGAGAATAGAATAATGAAGGTTTCCTGTGCTTTTAAGTTGTTGTTCCTAGTTTATTAGACAATTAAATTCATTTAAGTTTAATATTCACTTATTTTGATGCATGAGCAGCACTGCTTTGTTATCTTGTAGTAGAATGATTTTTTGAATCTGATTCCTATAAGATTTCATGCCCCTGTTTTCAATATTGTGTCTGTCAGGCACTGGATATGATACGAGGTAAAAATATTCTTCTTCTGATGGATTCCCATTTGGAGGGGAACTTCTCAACTGAAGAGGCAACTGTAGTTTTTGGTCTTGCTTCACAGTGTTTGCAATATGAACCAAGGGAGCGGCCAAAAACACAAGATTTTGTTTCTACCCTTGCACCACTGCAAAATAAACATGATGTAAGTCCCATTTTTCTTTATTCTCTTTCAATGGATTCAGAGTGTCTTTTTTGTTCCTTGGATTTTTTCTTCGTCAGTGCAGGCTAATAATGGATAATATATTTTCTCCTTTCGCCACCTGGAGGGAGGGGGGACTGAGGGGAGTGGTACTTGCATACAATATTGGTTTTATCAAAAGCCATGTGATTAGATGAAAAAGAGTTATGTGATTAAGTGCACATTGGGAATATGTTGATTGCATTTCATATTAAATATCCACAAACTATTTGCTCTCAAGGTAACAATCAAAATGCTGATTGCAGGTTCCCTCTCATGTGATGCTGGGAATTCCAAAGCAGGAAGAAACGCCACCAACCCCACAACACCCTCTCTCTCCAATGGGTGATGCCTGTTCACGTATGGATCTCACAGCCATCCATCAAATTTTGGTGATGACACACTATAAAGACGATGAAGGAACCAATGAGGTAATTTATTCTAGCTAAGATGCTATGTAAATGCCTCTATACTAATTCAATTTATAAGTTATGAATGTTGATGTCAATTACTTTAGTTATCTTTCCAAGAGTGGACTCAACAAATGAGAGATATGTTGGACGCAAGGAAACGCGGAGACTTGGCATTCCGTGACAAAGATTTCAAAACTGCTATTGATTGCTATTCTCAGGTACTTGCAAAATGTATTGCTCAAACACTTTAATCAAAGTGCATTTGCAACTCTTCCTGATAAAATAATGTTTTTTCTTCTTCCTGAAAATCATTTGATTAAATATGTCCCTTCTCCACATCCTCTTTCACCCATCAAGTTAAAATCTTTTTAAATGCTAAATTTTCTTAGAAGCATTTTTTTGTAAAACAAGAAGCAATTCTCAATTAAAAACAAAACAACCCTATGCTAAGATGGCTCTTATATTGTAAGAGTGATTTTATGTATTCAGGAAAAAGAATGAACAGAGATCTCCATATCAAGAGTTCACTATCAATGCTTCTCTAATAACAATGACAAAAGAATGTGATACAATATGTTCCCTGCTAGATACACATATACTTCAATTATCTGACTTGGCTTAATTGCATATCCATCTCTCAAATCTGCTCTTCTTGATGGTAAATATTTCCCAAGACATGAAGTTTGAATCAATAGTGGATAACGAGGTGGCTTTAAAAGCTTGTTTGGGAAGTATTTCTAAACGGTTTTAAATTATAAATAGATAAAAAGGAGTGGTGGATAACTGGGCAGTTCTTATGAGTGTAACGAAATGTATAGATAGAATATTCGTTTGACCAATTATAAACATGGGCTTAGTTTACTTATCCTATTCTATTATTCCTACATATTTGTTTAGGACAGATAGTTATTGCTTAGTATATGGATATAAATAATTGTGATGACATGTGCAGTTCATAGACGTGGGCACTATGATTTCTCCAACGGTTCATGCACGAAGAAGCCTCTGTTATCTCATGTGCGATCAACCAGACGCTGCCCTCCGAGATGCAATGCAAGCGCAATGTGTTTATCCAGACTGGTCCACGGCATTTTACATGCAGGCAGTAGCCCTTGCCAAGCTCGACATGCACAAGGATGCAGCTGATATGTTGAAAGAGGCTACCGTACTAGAAGAAAAGAAGCAACGAGTTGGAAAAGGACCTTGATTTGTACTCTGTATGCAATTATTTAATGCTGCTGTATCATTTGGTTTTAAGTCGTAATTTATCTAGGGATGGAAATACATACATTTGCTCAAGTAAATGTTGTGAGTTAATTTATTTTTCTCAGATTTGTTAAATAATTGGTAACCTTTTAAGTGTGTGCATTGGTATTTATTGAGTGCTTTCACTAGAAAACATTCATCAAGATGCTTTGCTAAATGTACTTTAAGATCCATAACATACTTTTAAGGAGTTAGAATTTCGGAGTCGAAGCCTAGACAATAAAGATGCAATCTGAATAGGATATTTTATATACATTTATATGATTTGATTTGATGACTCGATCATTTTAATCTACCAAGATAAATTAATTAGTTATAGTTAATTCATCCTTTGTTCATTCCTGTTTAATGAGACAATACGTTGTTCAAGTCAGTCAAACATTTAGATACGATTAATTTAAAATTATGTTTAGAAAAAAAAATATGGCCGTTTTCCTATTTTCGATTTGCCCCTGTTTGGCCATCATTATTTGGTATTATAATTTTTGGAATATTGTTTTTTTGGAGAATGAGTAGTTGACAAAAAAAGAAAAAGTTTTCGATCATGCTATGCTGCCAAAAAGGGTTCGACACCGTCTCTGATAGCACACTCATAATAGGGAAAGCATTTTTTTTTTGAATTTTATATTCATGCACATGTGAGTGTAGGTCAATCAAGGCGTCAAACAATTTCGAGCAAAAGAGCTTTAGTTTTTTGCAAGAGAGAGGTAATGTATTGGAACTGATTGATTGAAAACTGGGTTTTGCCTTTTCATCAGGAATGGAGAGAAGAGTATCTCCAATAGGAATATCGATTGGACAAATTGTAGACTCCATGTACAAGATAGAACGTAGATAGTGTAAAAATAAATTATAAAAATGTAAATATAGAATATCTTGCACACCTTCCAGATATAAACATTGCGCTAAACGTCCTTCACTTTTTCCTTATCATGTAAGCATTTTGGGGTGACTTCAACGACCTCATTTGAGTTGCTCTAAATGTTGCCCTTGTATGCACTAATTGCCTAATCCGGTGCCAACTATCGAGCTGTTGAGTTTCTTTTTCTCTAATTGTAAAAAGGACGAGTTAAATGTTTCAATGGCCATTGAACTTTACACTACGTCACTGCTTACTCACCGAACTTTATCAAGCGTCCCATTACTCACTGAAGTTTGCTCCGTCTCACTCCATTAGCCACTGGATGNAAATTTGTTGGGTACGGAGTGATGGGCTTGTTTTGATAATTAAAGTATGGATTTGTTTGAGTTCTTTAACGGATTTGCAGGAGTTTAGTTTATGGAAAAATGAGAAATCTTGGGAATTATTAGAGTACCGGGTGTGCAAGTGTGTGAAACTTGACGCAGAAACATAACTTATCATCATCTCGTGAAGAATTTTCAAGTAAAGTGATGGCAATGGAATATAAGCCTATGCTGAGTTGAATGTTTCAATGTTCATTGAACTTTACACTACGTCACAGCTTACTCACCGAACTTTATCAAGCGTCCCATTACTCACTGAAGTTTGCTCCGTCTCACTCCATTAGCCACAGGTTAAGTGCCAAATCACTGCCACTCCATCAATTCTCATTTACTCAACACGCCTTTCTCAACCAAATTAAACACGACATAAACCAAATTGAACCCCAAATCGTGAAATCAATTTCTCCCAA